TTTTGTTTACCCATAATGTATTTAAAGAAATCCTTACTGTTAATTTTTACATTTTCAGCCAACCTTTTTTTCATATTAATATTCTCTAATTTTCTAAATATCCAGTCATACTAGTCAATTTAAATTTCATAAACTATAATGCTTTTCTTTAATTTTATCTCTCAGCTGACAGAAAAGACAGGCATCTATATCTCTAAATGTCACAGGTTAGGAAAGTTATATTTAGTGCAGGAAAACATGCCTAATGGCCAAATTACGGATCCAGTCTTGCATGCAGGAGATTAATGATTCTATAAGGAATATGGTCACCTTGAATATTTAAACATTTATCTTTAAAAACTTTCCACATCTGATCAGTGTCTCCAAATAACAGAAAATGTGGTCAAGATACCGATTATGAAGCAATCCTACTTTGAATAACTGAGTCATTAGAATGGATGAAATAAAAAGATTAGGTGCAAAGTGGAGCACAAAATGAACAATCGTCATCATATCACATGTAAAACACACATACTGTGTATACTGCTTAATTACCAGGGGATTTTTGCTGTTGCTGGATCTTTTGTTTTCAACTGATCTGGCTAAATCCATGTATCAGACTTACAAAATACAATATTCTTTACTTCACAATAAGCCTTCCAGTGGCAAAGCGGTATGTCTGCAGACTTACAATAGTAGAATCCAGGTTTCGATACCCGTGGTGGGCAGAGCACAGATAGCCCATTGTGTAGCTTTGTGCTTAATTACAAACAAACAAAACTTCACAAAAAATTTCATATTTACCTACAACAATTAGCACTACCTACATGATTAGAAATTCTCATTTAAAAATAAATGGGGTTATAATCTCGAGATATCACCTAAAAGACCATTGACGGATACTGCTGGTAATATCCTTGGAAATAACGTGCAGTATAGCAACAACACCTTTCTGGGCAATACAGGTATTACCTATTCAAACGTAACAAAGGAACAAAGCAGTTAGAACGAAATCAACTTAACAGCTTTCTCGGTCATATGTTATGTGAAACATTTACATATTCCAAATAAGTTGTAATTTGAAAATAAATAACTAAAATATTAATGCGCCACACCAAAAAACAAAAATTAAGGTTAAACTAAAATGTTATAGTAAATACAACTGAAAATTAAAATAAGTTAAAGCGAAACAATGAAACAAAAGAAAGTTAATTTTAAAGTTAAAATAAGGAAAAGTTATCTTCAAAACTAAGTGAAAGAAGTCTAAAACATGATTAATGAAAGAGAACCTCGCTCACAAAACAACAATAATACACAAATAGTCATGGAACCTTTTCATGTATGTGACTTTTGGTCACTGCAATTCAAGTGCTAGGGCGTGGCAATCCTGGACCGATTCGCTGACAGAAAAGACGGGCATATATATCTAAACGTCACAGGTTAGGAAAGTTATATTTCGTGCAGGAAAACATGCTTAATGGCCAGTTAACGGATCCAGTCTCGCATGCAGGAGATTAATAAAAGTTGAGTTATTTAGTTGAGCGACTATCTGCGTTCAAATTGAAGTGAAAAATATATATATATATATAGAAATTTAAAAATATTTACACATTAACTCTGGGATTAACTAACTCGTGGTATAGTCCTATATCATAATATGATATATATATATATATATATATATATAGTGATTTAAAAATATTTACACATTAACTCTGGGATTAACTAACTCGTGGTATAGTCC